AGCACTCCGTATAGCATCTGAGCAACACTCGTCAAATGTTAACGAGTGAAATAAGGAAATTACGGTCTGCATAATATGTCTTTTATGTAGCTATGCAACTTCAATTAATAGATGTGTGCACTTACAGGAAATGCAGGTTGCAGTCTATGTTTGCACAGTTACGGTGCCTCAACTCAGAAACACTTGAATCACAAAGGTAGCATCTTGCAAATGCTTTAATCGGGGAAACAACTTCTTGCACTCTGCCTTGTTCACTTTCTGCTTCAGAATTGTAACTCGATGGTGTAGAGATAGGCGCGCATCAAATACAAAAAGATTTCTAATCCATCCAACAGAGCCTTCAATTTTAAGGTAATTAGAGACACCATGAACTGCGCACTAACACCACGTACTAAGAAACTAACTGAGCACTAACAGGAACTAGTAAAACAATGCCAAAATACTAGGACATACATTATTATTTATTTCAATAATATTTAAAATTCCCTCCCTTAAACTGAAAAATGTCAAGCTTTCAGTTTATGTGTGATACTCAGAGACTCATCCAAAGTGCAAATCCCAAGTAGCTTTCGTAGCTTTTGAAATGCAGAGAGCTTGAGTGACTTGGTAAATAAGTTAGCAACCTGATCTTCACTTCTGCAATAAATAAGATTAATAACTCCACCATTTGTGAGGTCTCTCAAGAAGTGGAACCTGACATCTATATGCTTAGTTCTTCCATGCAAAATAGGATTTTTTGACAGCTTAATTGCAGAGCTGTTATAAACTTTATGCTCATTTCCAGCCTTAATATAACCAGGGGGTTGGTGAACAAATAGGATTTTTTGACAGCTTAATTGCAGAGCTGTTATCACAAAGTATTGAAGTAGATCCTATTTGCTTGAAGTGTAGCTCCTCAAGAATATTTCTTAACCATACAGCTTGGCAAGCACATGTAGACGCATATACATATTTAGCTTCGGTTGTTGACAAAGTGACAATCGGTTGCTTCTTTGAACACCACGAAACTGCTGTTGATCCCATCATGAATACATAGCCTGATGTACTCTTTCTGTCCACAAGATCACCTGCATAATCACTATCGGTAAAGCCGTATAGCACTGGTTTTTCACCCTTTTTATAGAATAAACCATATTCAATGGTTCCTTGCAAGTAACAAAAAATCCTTTCGGTTGCTTGCAGATGTGCTTCTCTTGGGCAATCCATGAACCGACTAATGTGACTTACCGCATGCATTATGTCTGGCCTTGTTGCAGTCAGATGCATTAAACTGCCTACGTTTTGCTTATAAAGCGTACTGTCCACCTCCTTACCTTCATGAACTAACTTCAAACCTGTCTCCATAGGTATACTTGCAAAATTGCATCCCTTCATTCCGAACCTTTCTAAAATGTCTTTCACATATTTCTTTTGACAAATAAAAATTCCATTAGCAGTTTGCTTCACTTCAATACCCAAAAAATAATGCATCATTCCAAGGTCAGACATATCAAACTCAAGCATCATGGACTTCTTAAACATTTCAAACATCTCACTATCATTTCCAGTATAAACTAAATCATCCACAAATAGACACACAATGAGCATCTTCCCCCCTTCACCAACCTTAACAAAAAGTGTGTGCTCATATGGACACTTCTTAAAGCCTTCTTTTAAAAAATAAGTTTCTATACGATCGTACCAAGCTCGTGGAGCTTGTTTCAAACCGTATAAAGCCTTTTTTAATCTATAAACTTTATGCTCATTTCCAGCCTTAATATAACCAGGGGGTTGGTGAACAAATACCTGTTCAACTAAATTACCATGCAAGAAGGCTGACTTCACATCTAACTGGAAAATAGGCCACAAGTTCTGTGCTGCTAGAGATATTAGCAGTCTAACAGTATCAAGTCTTGCTACGGGAGCAAACACTTCTTCATAGTCAACCCCAAATTCTTGTTTGTATCCTTTAGCAACGAGACGGGCCTTATACTTGTCAACATCTCCATTTTCCTTCAACTTTGTCTTATAAACCCATTTAACACCGATTGCTTTCTGCCCTTGTGGAAGCTCAGTCAACTCCCATGTATTATTTTTTTCAATTGACTGCATTTCTTCATCCATGGCTTTCTGCCACTTCATATCTTTCACAGCAGTTTCAAACGTTGTGGGATCACAATCTAAAAATAAAGCAAAATGAGTGAATGCATCTTCAGAATCAATGCCAGTTACTTCATAATCTGACATCCATGCCGGCCTTCTTCTATCACGTTGTGGGCGTGGCTCTATAATACTTTCTGATGGTATGTCAGAAAATGGTTCATTTTGTTGATTGTGAGGATCCACTGTAGGCACATCATCTTCAGTTTCTTCAACAAGTGGCACTAGAACTTGTTGAACAACATTGCCATTCCAAGGCCAGAAACAATCTTCATCAAATACCACGTCACGGCTAATCACAATTTTATTGGTAATAGGATTGTAAAGTCTATAAGCTTTTGATTCATGACTAATACCAAGAAAAATGCATTTTTCTCCCTTGTCATCTAACTTTCGCCTCATTTGCTCTGGAATACGGGCATAGGCAATGCACCCAAAAATTCTAAAATGATCAACATTGGGTTTCCTACCACTCCAAGCTTCCTCGGGTGTCATATTTTGAACAGCAAGTGTGGGACTTCGGTTCAAAATATAAATGCTCCAATTGACTGCTTCAGGCCAAAACAATTTTGGAACATTACTCCTCCTCAAAAGACTTCGCACCATATTTAAAATTGTGCGATTTTTCCGTTCACTTACACCATTCTGTTGAGGTGTGTAAGCTGTTGTAAGCTGCCTTTTAATTCCATGAGCTTTACAGAAAGTATCAAACTCACCAGAATTGTACTCTCCACCACGATCTGTACGCAGGACTTTGATTTGTTTGCCAACTTCATTTTCAACAAGCCCTTCAAAATTTTTAAATGCAGTAAAAGCCTCTGATTTCTCTTTTAAAAATTGCACCCATGTTTTCCGACTAAAGTCATCAGTGAAGGAAATTAGATATCTCTTACCTCCATTAGACGATGGATTTATTGGTCCGCAAATATCAGAATGAACCAACTCCAACGGCTTACTTGCCCTCCATGACCCTTTTTGTGGAAATTGATTACGATGTTGTTTGCTTAGGACACATTCTTCACAAACACCTGAAGGCACGGTAATTTGAGGAAGACCTTCCACCATATTTTTTTGCTGCAAAACTCTCAAACCGCTAAAATGTAAATGACCATAGCGAAAATGCCATAGCCATGCTGCATCCTTTACTTTTGTTGAGAAGCAAGAATAAGATGTATTATTGAGATAAAGTGGGAACATGCGGTTAGGAGTCATTTTAACTTGAGCAATCAATCCCAACTTTGCATCTTGTATGCGACATACCCCTTCCTTTATTGAAATCTCATATCCCTTTTCTTGCAGTTGGCCCACACTAAGAAAATTAGTCTTTAAGTCAGGAACAAAAAGAACATTAGAGATAATGTGAGTGATGCCTTTGTTTTGAAGAGTAACAATTCCCGTCCCCATTACAGATACTATGGAATTGTCACCAAACTTCACAGTATTGTGAAAAGTTTCGTCTAACTGGGAAAACATCGTCTTATCCCCACACATGTGATTGCTACATCCGGTATCTAAATACCACATGTGTTGAGTTTCTTCATTCACATGACACGCTAGCAAAAGAGATACCTCCTCTTCTTTTTCTACAAAGTTGGTTTTTTCTTCATCTGGTTTAGTCAGATTGGTTCGGCAATCTGATTGATAGTGGCCAAATTTGTGACAACGATAACACTCACCTTTGACAAGTCTCTCGGTTTATTGGTTGTTGAGATATTATGGCCACCTCGCCTTCCTCCTCTTCCTCTACCTCTACCTCTGCCTCGTCCTCTATTTCCCCTCGATGATGGATGATTTTCTGTTGAGATCTTCAATGCTTGTTCTTCATTTTCCTGATGAATAAGTTTCTGCTCATGAATCATTAAAGAACTTTTTAATTCATCCAAGGAAAGTTTTTCCACGTCGTTAGCTTCCTCTATGGAGCACACAACAAAATTGAACTTCGGTGTCATGGATCGAAGAATCTTTTCAACAACATCAGAATCCTCTATTTTGCTACCATGATTTCTCATCTTGTTGACAATCGCGGTTGTACGAGAGAGATATTCTATAACAGACTCTCCCGACTTCATGCGGAGTGTTTCGAACTCTGTACGAAGTGCTTGAAGCTGCTGCCTCTTTGTTTTTGTAGAACCTTCATACTTTTTCTGCATGGAGTCCCATATACTCTTTGAAGAATCTTTGCAGAGTATTGTCTCCAAGATGGGACGTTCGATGGCCTGAAAAAGATAATTTTTTGCTTTGCGATCTTTCAGTTTCAACGCCTCCAATTTTGTCCGTTGCTCTTCCGCCGTCCTTGCAGTTGGCTTTGCAAATGCAGTCTCAATAACACACCAAAGTTCCTTCGACCTCAGGAAATTCTCCATTAGCATGCTCCAATGGTCATAGTAGCCATCAGAACGAGGAATAGCGGGTTGAACAAAATTTTTAGCTGCCATGTCTATCGAAAAGACTCTCTCTCAATATTCACTTCCTCTCACTTAGAGCTACTGCTCATATGAATATTTAACTTGGCTCTGATACCAAATGTTATAAAAATAAGAAGAAACAGAAGTACGTAAAACTCACATCTTTATTATGCATGAAATAACCTTTTATATAGGCATTACAAAACTAACCACATACTAATGAACTGCGCACTAACACCACGTACTAAGAAACTAACTGAGCACTAACAGGAACTAGTAAAACAATGCCAAAATACTAGGACATACATTATTATTTATTTCAATAATATTTAACAATCTGTACCCCATTAATCTCTTTGACCTTTTGCAGAAAAGAATTTGGAGCATAGCTCTGATAAAATCATCTGGTCTCTAATTTAATTAATTGATCTGTAAATTTCTAAACTCAAGTCTAGACTCAACAAATTTTATCAAGAATTCAGAAAGCCTGAAGCAAGTTATCAGAAATACCATAACTTATACTCACTTTCAGAAGCCGGATAGTGTATAAGCCCGACCTGAAGAATCTCAGAGTCCGTTCCCCAGCATATAGGAGCACAGGAACTGCAAGATACATCCATGTCTGCAAACAAAAAGTTATATCAGATTGAAAGAAGCATCTCATTTTTTGATTAACCAAATGTACTGTGCAATATAATGTGTGGATGAGTAGGATGATGGATGGGTTTTGGAACTTTACCGTTTTCTTGTACCATTTGTGCACAAGATAGAGGAACATGCCATGGACGATGAGCAGTATGTACACAATGACAAAGAGGTGGTGAGAGTACCAAAATGCATTGAATCCAGTGAGTCTATCAAAAGGCTTGGGCAGCTTAATAAGGCCTCGCCTGAACCATCTTGTTGCAAGTGTAAAAGCAATAAGCATCAAGATTACCATCAGTATTCCTGTCACGCCTTCAGGTCCTTTAATAAGGTCTCCATAACCGGGCTTATTACTTCCAAAATCATTTACGAGAAGCCAGTTATAAATTGCATCCGCTTCGTTGATAAGCCTTGGAAAATCACATGCAAGATGGTTACCAGCATGTAGTATGATACCAATCACAATTCCCGCTGCTATGGTCTGCAAACATCATATCCATAGTAGTTGTTACGATCACGACTCCAGGTATATATAAAAAAAAAACTTCATTATATATTCAAGTGATTTTCAAGATAGATACGGAGGGTTAACAATTTAACCTAATTACCTAAATGCTATCTCTATACCTCCACATGAATACATGATTTGTTTCTGTCCCCACCGACCGAACAAGCTAAGGAATCTCTTTAGCTATAACACTGAAATTCATTTAGTATTTCATTGAATTTGATGTAAATTTATACCTACATATGTTAATCAATATATAAGATGATGCTTATCCATGAGAGCAGAACTCCACAAAATAGTGCAACTCGGAAGAGGCAATGAAACAGTATTTACATGTATATCATCAATAGAAAACACACATGTATTTGGCACCATCAAAAATTTTCCAAACTAACAATATATTTAAGTTGAAATTTCTAAAGAAGGTAATATAACGTTATTCAAATGTTTACAAGTAGTTTTATTGATTAACATGTGAAATTTAGTTGATACAATAACTAGTTGAAAATTCAACACATTGCAAGGAGTAAAACAGGGAAAGGAAATGAGGAAATTGACCTGCACATATGAAGTCCTTTCTATTATAGCTAAATCCATGCTTGACCAGGGTTTCGCTGTTACATAAAGATGGTTATTGAGGATGATTCAGATGCCCGAATTGCTCTCGTTGACGAACATATAGAAGTACCACATCAAGACATGCCTGTATGATTCCAAGAGGTCCGGCAGCCAGAACAAGTCTTTCCAAATCTAGGCCCGACATCATGACATAAACTCCTGAAGTAGACACGTGAGGCCAAGAAACATTACACTTTATGTTATTGTTTTCCTTGCACATCTATTAAGTTCCCGTGTTTTAAGAAAATGCTATTGAAACCTAAAATGCATTGCTTTTTGACATTAAAAGAAAAGATACCTTTCCCTTCCTCTCCCAGAACATTTTCTTCCGGAACAAAGCAATTTTCAAACACAAGCTCACACCTACAGGGTAAAAAATACAAGTGTCAGCCCATTTTCCACACAGAGGGTATGGTATATACAGGCTTCGGGATAAGACAAACATACGTATCACTTCCTCTCATCCCAAGTTTGTCTAATTTCTGGGCAGTACTGAAACTGCAAAGAGCAGAAAGTGCAACATGAGCTCTAAGACGTGTAAAACTTAACCTTGTTACGCACAGATGCTTCATACTAGAAATAAGCCAAAATGGTCAAAACAGGTATGGTGGTAAAATCAGTCTCTCAATTTTCTTTAACTTTAACATGTCAAAATCTAAATTTAGTGGGGTGTATTTTGGGGAAAAAAAAATCATTTATTTCTTCCGAATCAAGATGAAGTACATACCCTGCGATTCCCTTCTCAATGATAAAAGCTGTGATTCCTTTTGAGCGAGCAGCAATATCTGTTTTGAATATTAATTGTATACTTTGAGGTTATTGCTCATATTAAAATTGTTTTCAGTTATGCAATTTATTTGGAACATATGATTTTATTATTTAATTTTATGCATATCTGTTCTAAGCATAATATTTTTTTTTTTTTTAGATTATGCGATTTATTATGCCTTTAGAAAGCATAGTTTGAGAATGGATTTAGTTCCTTATTAAGTTGAACTTTATGCATAAAATTAATTGCGGTAGTGCCTGAATTTAAGCACGTTTAGTCCGTTAATTTAGTTCATCGATTTAAAGCCTTATCCATAGGTGAATCTACAATTTTATAGATCTTCCAAACGATTTTACTTCAAACATGAGAACACATGATTTAGAAAAGTTTCTTGGGGAGGAATACTAGTTCTATGGCCCTGGCTTAAAAGCCTTGTTGCTACTAGTCCCCTTGCGACGCTACTCTGTCTAAGGAGTTGGTATTTAACCGAGTTTCGTCTCGACCAACTTTCCTGGGAGTATACCTAATAATTGTCTATCATGTGTTGGTTTAATTTGTTTGTTAGGCTTTAAATTCCCCTTTTGCCAAGTGATAACAATTTTAGATTAATTAAAGAGTAGCCACAACATCTTTAATTTACTAAAAATTATCTAAAGTTCAAATCACATAAAGATGACAAGGATAAATGTCTAGTGATCGTATAATTTTAATTAGTTGGGGAGTAGACACAACATCCTTAATTAGTTAAAATTATATATTGAGTTGTTACGATCACATAAAGTTTTAGACATATCAATTATGATTAATTGTATGTAATATGATGGAATTTAGCCCACATGCAATTTCGTTATATTTGTATGATTAATTAGGATGAAATACTGAACTATGATCATAATTTAGCCCACAGGCAATTATGTATCGGAATGTAGTTTAGTAGTTTTATCAGTGTGATGATAGGAATAAAGATTCACCTCTATCATGAAGCTTAATTTTATGATGTAAACTTTAGGTCATATATCTTAATTTGCCCACAGGGATTAAAATAAGGAACATGATCTCTTTTAAGTCTTTTGTCATAATGGTTGTAATGAATCTAATCGAATTAAAATTTCAGCCCACAGACAAGTTTTATGCCACTTGATTCTTCAACCCATTTGATAATTGTATGGTTGTAATGAATCTAATTGAATTAAAACTTTAGCCCACAGGCAAGTTTTTTGCCACTTGATTCTTCAACTCATTTGCTAATTGTTTCATCATAAAATTTCAGTTGGATCTAATTGAGTAGAACTTTAGCCCACAAGCAAGTTTTATGTCACTAGATTCTTCTGACTATTTAGTAATTGAGATAAAATACTATCATAAGTGTTTAATTGAATTTAATAGATTTAAAACTTTAGCCCACATGCAAGTTTTATGTCAATAAATTCATCAACCCATTAGATAATAACTTTATCTCAATTTCTTAGAATTTATAAATTTAGTTCAATTATAATTCTAAGTTTCGTGGTTTGCATTGGCAAAACATGTATTTAGTCACTTTCCAAAATTTAGATACACCTTTTATTAATTATTTTTCACGAAGCTTACTTGGTTATTTGGACTAACTATAGTAAGTTGCGTGGTATGATATACCTCTTTTGGATTCCAATAGTAAAATATATCTTCTGAGCCAAATTCCAACTTGATTTTGGAAGGCGTATTTTATTATTTTAGTATGTCCAACTATGGTGGAGAATGATGTTCTCATTAATTATTCATTTAGTTGGACTATAATTGGAACCAAATATTGATTATTTAGTATGCCCAACTAATGGTGGGGAATTATATCTTTATTATTTAGTTGGTCAAATCAATTATGAGTGTTATATCATTAATTTGGCTAAAGAATATCTTAATTAGTGGGAGTGATCATTTAGAAAAAGGTCATTAAAATACTCCATTAAAGCTGATGGATTTAATTGTTTTCATACATTCCAAATTGGATTGTGTGTCTAGCAATAAGTCCAAAAGTTTCCACAAGTATTAATTTAGTTTTTTGTTCTTATAATTCATAAGTTCATTTCATTGAACGTTTGGTTGTACAACATATTTATGAAAATGTTGTAACAATATTAATGAATTTATTAGAACGAAAGCACATTTAACTTGTGGTACATTGCCAATTAATAAATTCTTTAGCGATTAATAGAGTCTTTAGTTTCTTCAAAATTGATCCTGGGCCATTTTTGGTTTGTAAGGCTCAAAACAATTTTGTAAGACATAATAAGTAAGACTCATAATGTTCAATTAATTTAGAGGTGGACATTGAGATTATTTGGGAAGTTGGTGTATATTTAAGATTCCAAATTTATGGACCTAGATTTTTTTGGTTTGTTGTCTAAGTTATTGGAGATTTGTAATGTCTCTATGACTTGACTATCTTTTGGCTATCTTAATGAGTGGGAGTGACAGACGTGTCAACTCTAAGCTCTTAGCCGTTAGAGGTAGTGTTTATGTTAACTTATAAAGAAGTCATAGAATATAGTTAGCATTATTCTAACATTAAGGGATCTCTACTTAAGGCATGCTTCTAAGATTTTGGAGATCATACAGTGAATTTGGATGGTTTCTTCATTTCAGTTGTACACATAATATATTTTGAGAAACATCCATTAAGGGACTAGAATAAACGTAGGGTTTGTTCATAAAGAACCTAAGTTAGGGAATTTAAATGCATGTGATCATAGTAGATATTACTCACTTGATTAGTAGAGGACGTATTACTATGGTTCATGTGTTTTGTTCTTTAATGAAGGTTGTGCCAGTACTTGCACCAAGTGGGAGAATGTAAGTATTTTCCCTAAATACAATATATTATAATATATTGTATTATTGGGTGGTTGTGGTACAAGTGGAAGATTAAGTCAGTTAGTGACTTAATCTGTTAGGCAACTCAGGATATTCAGTTAAGCTTTAACTGAATATATGCTTACGTTGATGGCATGTAGCCTTCTAAGCAAAACAGTCCTCCCACAGCTCCCGTGTTGAGAATACACGCACCATCGGGTATTCGAGAGAGAAGTGGTAGACAAATTAAAACACTAACCTTTATTCTCACTACTGGAAATTATGAAATTTCCGACCACCCGAAAGTGATCTTAAATCAAGTCAAAAGTCTTGTTCCGACCACTTCTGGTATCCGGAAAAACCTTTGTTGCTATTTCTGACCACTTTTTGGTATCAATTTGATTTAAGTTCACTTTCAGGTGGTCGGAAATTTCATAATTTCCAGTAGCTGCAGGTTTACCATCTCGTGGCAATACTAACGACTATGGCTAGAGATATTCGGGCGGTCCTAGAGCTTCCGCTGCAACGAGGCAGGTTACTCGTTTAATACAGTTTATGTTAGCCTTAATATTATTATCTAACACAGAGAACAAAAAAAACCATCTGGTAGCTAGGGTGGGACGTAATCACCAAAGCAAGAGACAAGGGAGGCATGGGAATCAAAAAACTTAACGACATGAATCTTGCTTTCATGGAAAAATGAGCTGGAGACTGCTACCATTTGTTCTGAAGGTGCCCTGCGGCAAAAACATTATGTGATCTGATCCATGCAACTTTAAAGTCGAGGGGCTTAGTACTATTGTTAAATGTGGCCTCGCCATCTCCAAATCCACCACAGGGTGACAGCAAACAAGGAACTCTTATTACATGGATTACTCCCACAGTTTCGCTTGGAAATGCCATCTCCAAGCCAATCAGATAGGTGAAGATGTTTGGTTCTCCCATCGTAGCTTGCCACTGATCTTTCATAATCTGTAGATTGCACTTCTTTGATAGCCACATTTATAAGTGGGACATCCAATAGCCATTTATCCTTCCAAAAGGATGTACTATTACCATTCCTCACCTGTTTTCTCAATCCTAACTTCCTGTAGAATGGGGGCTGCTCTAAGAATGCCTTTCCAGGAACTTGACATACTGGATTTAGGAAGCCAAGAGATATTATCTGATGAGGAGATTGAATATTTTGCTCTAAACAATTTAATCCACAGGCAGTTCTCTCCTTGGACAATTTTCCAGCCTAGCTTGGCTAGGAAAGCACGATTCATTGGCTCCAACTTCCGGATACCCAATCCTCCAGAAGACTTGCTTCTTGTAACAGTTTCTCAGTTAACCAAATGACATTTACGTTCAACCTCCTTGCTACCCCATAGAAAATCTCTAATAAGTCTTTCAATGGATAAAATGACTCCAGCCGGGAGGAGGGTCGACTGCATTGAGTAGTACGGTAAAAAATTAAATTAATTATATAATATAAAGGCTGACATTTTTGCGAAATTTTTTATTAAAAAAAAGCAACTATTAGCAAGAAATCAAATTAAAATTCAAAAAATTGTAATTAATTAATTTGAAAAGTAAAAATGAAAAGCGACAAAATCATGTACTCTAAAAATCACAAATAATATTAAGGAATAAGAGTCAAATAGGTCATCATATTGCACATGATAATACAATTAGGTCACTGAAATTAAAATAATTTTTAAAAAACTAATTATTTAAAATACTGATGCTGTTGAAAGTTGAAACCTGCCCATCATGTGTCATGAGACAATCATTATTGCATTGATCGGGTCCACACAACTCTGTGAACGATGGTCCAAAAGCACATCAAGTATATTATTTTAGCACATAAATTACATTATTCTAATTAACAAAATATATTATCTTACCCTAAAAATGTCATTATTCTAACACAAAGTACATTATAC